CTGGAATGGGCTGGGGGGAGAATTTGTTTTGCAAGAATAATTCAATTTATGTGAAAATTTGTTTGTTGGGATGTTTTGTAGTTTGTGAGCTCAGTCTGTGGGCTGGGGCTGCCTGTGTCCATCTACCCCAGGTGCAGTGAGGTTGGGATGGGAGGGATGGGGAGGACCAGCTTTGGGCAGGGACATCCCTGTGGCAGGGCTGATCCTGTGGCATTTGCACTGCTGCTCTCATGGGGCATCCATGCCGGTATCTGAGGGAGAATTGTTTGCTGGGGTTTTGCCTGTCAGACCCCATGGCTCCCTGGACTCCACATGGGCACAGGGGCAGGTAGCCGCCTGGGCAGGACTCGGTGCTGGACACAGCTCATGCACTGGCAAACAGCACAGGGCAGTGGTTCAAGGCTCTTGACCTGAATTTTCTCAGGAGGGAGATAAGTGATGCATTTCACTGGCTGCTGATCATTAACGCCTTGCTGCCTGCTCAGTTGTGGCGGGGGGGGGGTGGCCAGGCACTATGTGCTGCTGCTGGGCTGCATGTCCATGCACCAGTGGCCGTGGATGATGAAGTCGTGGTGCCAGCACTGCTGCCAGCGATAGCAGAGTGTGGCTGGGATGGGGGGAGACAGCCATGGGCTGAGATCCCACACCATGGGACGAGTGGTGTATTCAGCTCCGTCCCCTCAAGCTGGCGACTGATGGGGCAGAAGGGATTAACCCAGGGGAGCAGTGCTGGGAGAAGGAATGCTGTCTCTATTTGCAAAGGTCCTTTAGCTCCACACCAGAGACCAGAAGATCATGGCTGGCAGCCAGGAGTGCCCCAGGCCTGGTTGTCTGGGGCAGTGGGGAGCTCCAGGAATGTCTTGGAAAGTTTCCCATTATGTGAAGTGCTGGTTAAATTAGCCTGGAAAATGAGGAGTGGATGGGCAGCCTACCCTCCACTCCATGCACCAGCTCCACACTTCTGGGCATCCCTGCCGTGCTCCAGTGGTGGTTCACGGAGAAATGGCAGAGAGTGTCACAGCCCTGGGCACAGCAGCTCTGTCACACAGACTGCAGGATAACACAACAAAGGCTCAGTGGTTCAGTCAGAGCAGCTGAACTGTAGTACTGGGAGGCTGGGGCTGCAGGGTCGCCTCTGTGAGGGGACGGTGCTGGTGCCGGAGCACCCTGTGCTCCGTGCACCCCCAAAGACTGTTTTCCCTTTTACGTAAGTTGTTCCAAACATGTTTGTAACGACACCCCCCCCGGTGGTGCACCTTTGGCAAAAGTGGTTTTGGGTCCAAAGATCAGTGCTGGGACAGCGACCTGCCTGTTAGCAAACAAGACCCTGCAGAGTATAAAAGCCAGTGTCACAGCAGAGCGCGGGGCAGCCGGAGCCACGCTGAGGGCAGAGCAGGATGGAGGCACACATGAACCTCCTGCACGACGCAGGCGTCCGGGCGACTCACTGGCTGCAAGGGCGCTTCCAGGGCTCCCAGGACTGGTTCCTCTTCATCTCCTATGCTGCTGACCTCAGGAACGCTTTCTTTGTCCTCTTCCCCATCTGGTTCCACTTCAACGAGGCGGTGGGCATCAGGCTCATCTGGGTGTCTGTGATCGGAGACTGGCTCAACCTCGTCTTCAAGTGGTGAGTGGCTCTGAGCCACGGCTCCCTCCGAGTGTGTTGGCACAGCTGGACTAACACGGGCCAGATGTGTGCTCTCAGCCCCTGTGATGGAGTAGAACAAAGACCAGAGTTCAGCCCCAGATGGGCAGTGGCAATGGTTGCTCCTTCCCAAGCCATGCAGCAATGGCTCCCACCTTCCCAGAGCCAGGCAGAGAGATGGAGCCTCCTGCAAACAGACCCTTCCCATCAGTCAGGTCTGTGGTGCTGTGTGTGGGCTGCACAGAGCCCCTCACCACAGCAGGGTCGCACTGACTTGCTCCAGGAAGTTCTTGCTGTCCTTCAGGGATTGGGATGAGGACATGGACAGGCAGTGTCAGCTCTCAGAACCAAATGACCAGCTGGATGCTGTGTCTGTCTGGATGCTCCTGGACCACCCATGGGTCCTTTGCTTCTTCCAGCTCGTGGGGCAGAGCTGAAGCTGCAGCCATGCTCAGGATGCCCACAGCCCCCATTCTCCTTTCTTTTCAGGATCCTCTTTGGGGAGAGACCTTACTGGTGGGTCCATGACACGGACTATTACAGCAACAACTCCGCCCCAGAGATCCAGCAGTTTCCGCTCACCTGTGAGACTGGCCCTGGTAGGGTCCCCCAGCCCCGGTAGGGTCCCCCAGGCTCAACAGAGGCAGCAGGTGCTTGCCCAGGGTGACCTGCACATGCAGGGAAGGGGTTGCTGGCCTGGCCAGGGCCATGGCTGGCAGCACATGCCCTGGCCAGCTCTTGAAAGAGGGTCACTACCTCCATGCTCCTGGGGACACTGGCCCTGCCTGCAGAGGGAGGAGCCAGGGCAGCCCCTGCTCAGCACAAACCTTGACCCTCAGTGCAGACGTGGTGGTTCAGCACAAACCTCATGCTCAGCTCCGGCTCATGCCAGGGCTATGCTCTCCCCTTCAGCCCCAAACACAGGCAGCCACTCTGGATGTCTGACCAGGGGCTCTCTTCTTGCCCAGGGAGCCCATCTGGCCATGCCATGGGGGCAGCAGGCGTGTACTATGTCATGGTGACAGCCCTCCTCTCTGCTGCCATGGGGAAGAAGCAGTCAAGGACTCTTGGATACTGGTAAGCTGTGTGCCAAAACCACATTTGCTGGGCAGAAGCAGCTCCAGCACTGACAGGCACAGCTAAGCCGGTTGAGGCACAAGGCTGTGGACAGGCAGCCAGGCTGTAGCACCCCAGGTGGAGTCTGCACGAGGACAGGCTCAGCAGGTAGCCAGGCACTGTCTGGGGTATGTGATGGCAGTGAGAGCTGGTCCTGGCTCCAATGTAGCCACCTGCCCCTTGCAGGATGCTGTGGACAGTGCTTTGGACAGGGTTCTGGGCAGTTCAGGTCTGTGTCTGCCTGTCCCGTGTCTTCATTGCTGCTCACTTCCCGCACCAGGTCATCGCGGGGGTGTTCTCAGGTGAGTTCATTGGACCCCCCCATCCTCTTCCCTGAAGCACAGCCGTGCTGGGCTGTGGTACCTGCAGCACTGACCATTGCTCCTGCTTTGTTACTGGCAGGGATGGCCGTGGCCAAGACCTTCCAGCATGTTCAGTGCATCTACCATGCCAGCCTTCGGCGGTACGTGGGCATCACTTTCTTCCTCTTCAGCTTCACCCTGGGATTCTACCTGCTGCTACGGGTGCTCGGCGTGGACCTGCTCTGGACACTGGAGAAGGCACAGAGGTGGTGCAACCGCCCTGAGTGGGTTCACATCGACACCACCCCCTTTGCCAGTCTCCTCCGTAACCTGGGCATCCTCTTTGGGCTGGGGCTGGCCCTGAACTCCCACATGTACCAGGAGAGCTGCCGGGGGAAGCAGGGCCAGCAGCTGCCCTTCCGCCTGGGCTGCACTGCTGTCTCCCTCCTCGTCCTCCATCTCTTTGATGCCTTCAAGCCACCCTCCCACATGCAGCTGCTCTTCTATGCCCTCTCATTCTGCAAGAGTGCGGCTGTGCCGCTGGCTGCTGTTGGCCTCATCCCCTACTGCCTCTCCCAGCTCCTGGTCACACAGGATAAGAAAGCTGCCTAGGGTGTCCCTGCAGATAACTGTGCCCAGGCCCTGGCTGCACCTCAGCCACTGTTTGCTCCCCTCTGACTGCACAGACTGATGCCGCGCTGGGAGTGGACTGTGGAGGCTGGGCTGGTGACACTGCCAGATGGCTCCCATGGCACGAACTCACAGTGTCAGTCATGCTGTAGGCTTGGGCAGTCTGTAGCTGGCTGATGGCACAGCGAGCCCTGCACACCCAGGGCTCCCCTACTGCCCCTCCACAGGTGGGGGTCATCAGCCCTGGACCCAGCAGCAGTGGGGGGAGACCCTGCACTCCCCTGCAGCTCCTGAGGACCTCCGTGCTGCAGGGCTGGGGAAGGCACCGCTGGGAGCAGGGTGCTCCCCACTGGGGTCTACTGGCCAAGCAGCTCTGTGACAGGAACAGGTAGACACTGTGACATGGAGATAAAGTGCCAGCGTGAGGGACCCACAGCCCTGGGGCATTTGGTGTTCGCTGCTGTGTGACATGGGGTGCACATACACCTGTGTGTGTACATACACAACACATATCTGCACACATGTGCACATGGGGGTGTGGCTGTGCACAGGAGGCATTTTATTAAAGCTGGAGGTGTGTTTAGCTGGTGAGTTTGGGTGTCCCTGGCCAGCGCGGCTGGATGGGGAATCAGCTCCCGGGTGCAGGGCTGTGACACAGACTGTGGGTGCTGAGGAGCACCAACACCTGCAAGACACATTCAAATCACTGGGAAGGGCAATGCCAGGTGCCCCAGGTCTTTGCCTTTTGCCCTCCAGTGCCAGCACAGTGTGGGGGACAAGCTGCTTTACATGCTGTTCACACAAGGTTTCTGGGTGCACTTTGTGCCAAGAACGGGGACAAACCCATGTAACCTCACTGCTTACAGAAATAAGTTCAGCTTTGGGATCAACTGACTTGGCTGGGGCTGTGCTGAGCCTCCAGGGTGTGGGGACAGAGCTGGTGTTTGGCTGCACTGCAGGCTGAGGGTGGTCAGTGCTGGCAGAGCGCCAGCGTCCCAGTCCCCTGCCTTGGTGTCCCAGCCCCCTGCCTTGGTGTCCCAGCCCCCTGCCTCCACCCTGTGCCCGGTCTGCAGCAGAAAACCAGCTGTGGGCTCGCCCTGTTGCCTTCCAAGCCATGCAGGCTGTACAGCCCAGCAATTAACTCTGTCAGTAAACATCCTCACTCAGACTGAGGTAGTTTAAAATAGACACAGAGGTGCAGACACTTTCTTTCTGCCAGACTCTATGTGCATGAGCAGACTCTTCCCCAAAACACCAGTCCCTGCAGCACTGACCCCAACAGCTCAGCCATGGGCCACCAACTGGAGAAAACCTGTCATGCTATTCCTAGGAAGGGGAAAAAAATCCCAAATTACCTGTTGTGCCCCACTGGCTCCACAGTGCCCTTCAGTTCCTCCAGCTGAGACTGCAGCAGCTCCAGGGCTGAGGGGACAGCAGTGCTGCCTGATCCCAAGGGAGTTTCAGGAGCATCAGCCTGAGAAACTTCCCATGTTCAAAAAAGGACCAGTAAGAACTGCACCCCAACAAGGACAAGGACTGGTACATAGTGGAGAATGATCTCCTCCTTGTGGGGCACCTGGTCTCCCTCCCAGTTGCCTCTGCCCCTGCCTAGGCCAAGGTGTTGGGGGGGGGGGACCGGGGGGGCCCAGCTGCCTCTTGCTGAGTGCTAGTGCCAAGCAACTGCTCCTCAGCAACTGCTGCAAAGCAAATCTCCGATGAGCTGCTGGCAGAGGCCCCTCCTGGCTTTGGGAACCCTACAAAGTGGTTAACTAAGGACTCCATTAATCCCTGTGCCATTTGTCTGGGAAACGAAAGAGCCCTTGCAGGAAGGCACAGATGGCAGATCCCCTCCCTGTTTCCATGAACACCATCCCAGGCCGTGCAGAGCATGTGCACACCAGCTGTTGGGTTCAGGTCTTTATTTTCTGGGAGAGACATTGGTGGAGCCTATGCAAAGCAGGAAATACAGCCCTACTTTGGGAATTGTTTCCTATGCTTCAGGGCTTCGATGGCTGATGAATTCCTGGAGAAGAGCTTGCACTTCCCCTCGGCGGCTCATCTTGGTTGCCTTGCCCTGGAAGCGGCCACGCTTTCCAGCTCCTTTCCCCCCCAGCAGCTCTGCTACCCTGCAGCAACAACACCACAGGCTGAAGCCCAACCTGCTCCAGACAGTGAACACGGATCCCCGCCCAGATTGTACTGTGCAGCTGCTCAGTCTGCAACATCAGGATTCTTACTCAAACAAACCACAGAACATGTTACCTGGGACCTAAATTCTCAACAGCTTCAACAGGTCCAGCTAGAAGGAAGAGTCCTGCTTCTTTTTCATCTCCCACAGTCAGGAACAGCAGGGTTTCCTGTGGGCAGAGATGGATCTTGCTCCAGAATAACCAGTGCCTCCATGCCCAGGAATTGGACAGATACTGGCCACAGGCACAGCAACAACTCAGAACTTTATGTGTGTTACTGAGACACTGTTTGAACAAAGTAAAAGGGAAGAGGCTTCTGAACCTTTTGTGCTCAGTCACATGTTGTGGGGACAGGACAGTACCAGGGTATCCTGAGTTAAGGAATCAGTTGGCAGTTGGACTAGAAGATGGTTGTAGGTCCCTTCCAAATGAAATACTCTACTCTTTCTATTCTACTCCTATCCTATCCCATCCTATCTCTGTGTGAGGCCCCAGACCTGCAGCTCGTGCCTGAGACAGGGCCTAGGCAGCTCCTGCCTGTGTACAGCTCAGGGGCAGCACCAGTGGTGTCAGGTTAGTTCTCACCAGTGACTCACCTCTGTCCCGATCTCATTAGCGATGATGTTCATGAATTCAGAATCACCCTCTTTCCTGTACAGGTAGGCAAAAAAACACTTGAGAAGGAAGCAAAGATCCCCTCCTGAGTCCAAAATCTCAATCAGAAGCCAAAGGCCTGGTCAGGGATTTTGGTCTCTTGCTCTCAGGATGGAGATTAGGTTTTGTCTGTGTATCTAAGTCCTTGCTGGACATTCCTGTGGACATGCTAGGAACTATTTTAGTGTTTAACTTTCAGAAATAGAGCCCCACAGTTTTATCTGAAAGTATCAAGGGCAGAGAGAAATCAGATGGACACAGACACTTCTCAGCCACCAAACCAGAAGAGTTCAGTAACTGAATTACAGATTCCTTTAATTACACAACTTTCCAGCAGGCCAAGGCAGTTTAATATCCTGTTCACCTCATTTATATTCTTCCTTGAGAACACAAGCCTGAATAGGTGCGACAGATGCAGCTGCCATGAAACATGTGAGATACACTGGCCCCTGTGCCCTGAGCTCCCCCATACCTGTGCAGCACAAACAGCTGCTCTGGAGCAGGTTTGCTCTTGAAGTCCTGAGCTATCAGAACAGCAATGTCTCTGAGCAGGTTCAGGTTGTTCTGAGAGAAAAGCAGAGAGCTGTACCACAGCTGAAGTCAGTGTGAACACAACTGTGTCCCCAGAGACTGGAGCACTTTTCATAGTACCCTCAAACACTGAAGCCCGGGATTCAATTCCCAGTCACCACTAAAGCTCAGGTCCACAGGAAGCAGCCACAGCTCCCTTCTCCCAGACATCCTCTTACCTTCTGCAGCAGTTTCACAGAGCTCTGCAGTCTCTTCACAGCCTCTACGTGCTCTCCTGGTCCATTTCTGAAAGAACAGGGAGAGTTTGGGTCACTGCTCTAAAGGACAAAGGATCTCCCAGGGGAGCACAAGGAGGTAACATCATAAACAGCCCCACAAGCTGTACCCTGAGGCTTATTTGGTATGTGTCAGGAGGAAGAGTAGAGATGAAATAGCAGAAGTGGAAAGGGCATTACTTGAGCAGGGAGGTCAGAGCCTTCTCAGTGCTGTGACTCTGCTCGATTGACTTCAGCACTCTGTTTCCCACCAGGAAAACCAAGTTGGTTTTGTTCTTCTTCCCTTTTTCTGTGCCAAGGAGTTTAATAACCTTAAAAAGAAAATCACCCTGTCAAAACAGCACTTTGGTTATACACAGATGGTCAGTTCCTACCAGACTATACCTTGTGGTGAATATTGACTCTCTGACAGTAAAAATAAACTGATTAAAATCAACCATAATGTCAACGTGCCAAAAGAGATTAGATGTGCTGGGATTGGTGCAGTTCCCTAGTCATGGACTGCATTCTGTATCTGGATGTCTCTGCTGGGAAACAGATTCCAACCAACCACTGAAAACACAGAAACACTTAGAGGCAGCTCTAGAGTTTTATCACCACCTGTATGCACAGACACAGAGGATTTCTCATCCATGGCAAACACTCAGAAGTATCAGAGCTCTAAGCAGAGGGAGCACAGTCAGTGCCCTGACAGCCCCATACCTTCCACAGAGGCACTGGCAGAGCAGGGAATGTCACTGCTGCACACAGGGCTGAGCTCTGGGATGAGGAAAGGACAGGCCCCAACACCTGACAGCCTGCACATGGTCCTCCTGGGGCTCCCCAGCTAGGGCTGCCACCACCCCTTCCCCCCAGGGCCCATGCACAGCTGCTGGAGCAGCCTGGCCTCAACCACCCACCTGCAGGTCACTGAGGTTGGAGACATGGGTGCCACAGCACAGGTTGGAGTCGATGCCCTCAATGTCCACAACACGCACAGGCCCCGCGTGGTCCTCAGGCAGCCCCCGGTGCCTCATCTGGGCCAGGATGAGCAGACACTGACTTCCCTGCCCAGTGACATCCCCCATGGGCACCTGCAGCTCCTCCCACACTCACTGTCTCGATTTCGGGGTCTCCCACAGGCAGTTCCCTCACTGACACAGGGACCCTGCCCCGGATCTTCTCATTCACACTGCTCTCCAGGGCCTTGACCTGCTCCACGGTGACCTTGGGGGTGTCCAGCTCAATGAGGCTCCTCTGGCGGCCCAGCTCCCTGTGCCAGCACACAACATCTCTGCTGCGGCTCACACCAGCCCCACACAGCACCAGGGGCCAGCACACTGCTGGGGCTGGAACAAGACACACCTCTCTCCTTCCCCTGTCCTGCCCAGAGCACCAGGTGCAAACCACAAGACAGAGCAAACACTTTGCACAGCTTCTCTCCAGCTCAGTCACCTCTCCCTGAGCTCGAGGGGGATGTCCAAACTGCTTTAGGTGTGTTGCTGTTCAGACTCTGTGTGGCCCAGCACAGTGAGATTTGCTAAGCAAAGTAACACTGGGGTCAAAAAGACCCTTTTTCCTGCTCACCACGAAGTTGTCTTGAAGCCAAACATCTGTTCCGCAATGGCAGTGATGAGATGCTGCCCTGGAAGAGATGTGCAAGCACCAGCTCTGAGCCCACTGGCATTCCAGTCAG